GTGGCTGTGCCGTCTTGCTCGCCTGTGTTGCAGTGGTTGGCTGGCAGAGAACAAGACAGAAAGTTAAAATACAGTTCTGTCAATGCAATCAGGAGATCAATGCCCCCTGAACTAAATCTAAGAGATACTATGTTCCAATCAGAGTTACGGACCTCGTTGTGTATTCAGATAAAGTAAAATAAAATAAAAGATAAATGTTCAAACAAGTAAGCCAAGACTACATTGAAGGTAGAGTCTATCCCTGGCTCACAGATTTCAACACATGCCGCAGGAGGTTTCCGGTCATGGGGAAATAAACATTTTGAAACATAAGAAGTACCATGTCATCAGAAAGTGACCCCCTGATGGATAATATTTCATCAGATAGTAACATGCCACAAGGGGCACTTGCTCAATCTACAGCCTCCACAGGTTCCCGTTTTCAAGTGGTTCCACACAACACAGACCCAAGAGGAGTGGGTGAAAAACACAAAAGAACGTGAGAATTTGAAGAAGTGAGAAATTAAAGTTCTCCAAAGAATTGGAGAAAATCAATAAAGTAGCCTGAACATAAACCGTTTACTCTCAGTGGATGAAATTAAGCGGCTTAGTAGGGGACTGTTTTTTTGCCCTACTAACTTTGAATACTTTTAAGCTTGATATTAAACTCTTTCAATATGAGAGATATGGGGTCATGACAATATTTTTCTGGACACCGAATCCTGTCTGGAAGCCTAACAAGATACTGACCCCTTGGATTGAATTTAAGAGCATTTTTTTAACCTTCTGGACATTTTCTGAAACATACATTAAAATGATCTGACATGTTACAATTCACCTTTAGTAAAAATAGACACGCTTGCTCCACCATAGGCAGGGATGAAAGAGAGGTGATTACTCCACTAGAGAAAGATAAAAATATAATTCCTAAACCTACTGACAAAGTACCACCTATTGTTGTATAATGACCAAAAATGCAAGGTATTCTCGATTTTTTAAAAGATAACGCATATCTTAAGATTTTGATGATCGCACTAGGTATGGGAGAAGCCAAATAGAAGTCCAGTTAAGCCTATCAAATGGATGGATCACCAGAAATACCACAAAAAACGAATGATACAGCTGCGGGCAGCGACACCATCCCCGGCCATTCTCTTTTTTGGAGGTAGCATATTTCCACATTGCCATGTAAATCCATGTGTTTCGCTATATTGATGATGTGTTTGTCATTTGGAAAGGCAATCTGCCTCGGTTTGAGGAGTTAGCTTTCTTTTTAAATTCTAGCTTTTAAAGGAATGTTTTTAATGCTGATATTTCCAGTTCCCAGATCACTTTTCTGGATGTGGACACATCTTTGAGCAATAAGGGTAAGATTTTCAGTGATCTATACTCTCAAACCACCGATAGGAATATCATTTTATATTTCTCCAGTGCCCACCTGAAATATCTAGTTGAGAATTTTCCAGTTACTTAGTTTATGCAAGTCCTTCATATTTGCATTTCGGGAACAAGGTTATACTGTTTCTGCATACCACAAGGCACTGGAGTAAGCCCATAAAAGAATAGCTGTAGAAGTGATACACAGGTTGAAAATACGTTGTACAACTCAAGTTCTCTTTACGCAAACACACAATTATATGTCGGAATGTATGAAATGCTCACAGAATCAGTCACATCTTAAGGAGTCACAAACATCTATGTGAAGAAATCAAAAAGACCTCCTATACATATGTATAGGAATTTAAGAGATCTACTTATCAGAGCTAATCTCTGTTCTTAATACCTCAAATGGATTTTGCTTTTCAAACAAAAAGGGATGCTTTAAGTGTCACTAGTGCAATATTTGTAGTTCACTTATTTCTCCACATTCAGGTTGGATGCAAAACTTCAGTTGCGACACTGAATATTGCATCTACTAAAATGCCCATGATCCCTGGTGCACGATGGAAAGTCTATTGACCTTTTTAAATGCAGGTCTGAACAAACCTGTCAGTTAGAAAAAAGTGGTTGCGGTCCATTTTGTGGAAGCTCAACACTAAACCCATAAACTGACAGTCAGGGTAATTGATTTTGTCCCTAGACTGATTGGCTGTGGTGACAGACATCAGATTTATTACAGATGGAAGCCTTCTGGATTCACATTTTGCAGATGGTGGTCCCCAGGGGTCTCAACACGATATTTGTCGTTCCTGTGTATCTTGCTTGATTCATGACACATTTTCTTTCTTTGTTCTATGACAAATTTTCTGTTAAGTATGCAGATTTTTTTGTAAATTCGGTATGCTATATTTGACTTGCATTTTCTTACATTTACCTATTTCTGTGTGCATTTTTATGAAATTAATCTTTCACTTTTTTTCTTTTTGGTATTGATAATATGTTTCTATTATGTTATGCTTTGTTTTCTGCCCTCCCTTGCCCAACTCCTCTAACTCCTAATCCAATCCTTCCACCATTCTGATTGCCACTTTCTTTTTTCCTCTATTTACTTCTCTTTGAGGCGTTGGTATTCCCCCCCATGACGGTTGCTTGGCTACAGTGATGCCTTCCTCCATTGGCTATATTGAGCAAGCACGTAATGGGATGCAAATTACCTTAGGCACTTCAGGTTTCCAGAATGCTTGCACTTGTGCAATGTAGTTCGTTTCCATTTCCAAAACACATGCCATGCGTTTTGTATGTTCTCCCTGTGCTCGCATGGGTTTGCTCTGGGTTCTCCTGTTTCTTCCCACACTCCAAAAACATGCTGGTAGATTAATGGGCTCCTGTCTAAATTGGCCCTATATGCATGTGAGATAGGGACCTTAGATTGTAAGCTCCTTAAGGGCAGGGACTGATGTGAACGTGCAGTATGTACAGCGCTTTTTAGTGCTATATAAATACCAGTAATAAATAAATGTAAAAAATCTGTGGTATGGATGCCACTCTCCATTATGGAACTGGGGATCACTTACCTTAGGTAAATGACTAATAGGTTGTTGGTGGCGGGGATGCCTGACAGGTATAAGGGTCTTTGTTCTATAATTAAGTTGCATATGTGTATATAGACAGACACACAGCCAGACAGAGAGACAGATAGATAGATAGATAGATAGATAGATAGATAGATAGATAGATATCTTTAGTAAACTTAATGAGGCTTATCGTTTGGAGTGCTGGCTATTTTATGTTTACAGGTTTTTATTACTGTCTGTGTTCCTGTTAGGGAGACTCACCCTCTCTACTTGTCCTGCTGTCTACTATTCCTGGGATAAAAAGTGAGGCAAATGGGACATAGAAAAAAACTGCCACAGGTTTAACAATTTCATACTCTATCCAAAATACTCAATATGGAAAAAAAGTTTTCGGGCCCTGTAAGCAGACTCCCAGATGATAGAGCACTTATATGTGTAAAGTCAACTGTCAGGTTTACATTGGAAGTTATTCCGGCTCCACGGGCTGTCAGCATGCTTGATCAGCTTTATTCAAGTGCAAGGATGCCATTAGGGGTCTAATAGACTTATGAGCACCCTAATTTTAAACAAAGTTTAAAAAACTAAAGTTAAATACGGTTGATTTAAAACCACCACACTGCTCTTACGTATATGCACACATCCTGTGCACCCACGTACAAAAACAATGATTGCGCTACACATGTTGGGTATCGTTGCCCACGACAGAGTGAGAGCAATAATAGTGGGGGCATTATTTACGGTTAACTCTAAACTGATGACCTGGAAAAGCTTTTAAATGGTGGCCTATGTACAGTTATGGGTAGCATAGTTTTAATGGGTGCAAGCAATTTTTAAGCTGGACATGTTTGGTATCTATTTGCTAATATATTCTATTATAGATAATATTTTGTGTTTATGTGCACTAAAATGATTCTCCTTTCAGAAAATATATAACTCTGGGAGTGGGGTAGGGTTAAAGTGACATTAAACTCAGGCGTTAAATGTCAAAAATACATTCAAGTACCCTCACTATTAACATAAATGCAGTGGTGGAACTACCGCCGGTGCAGGCGGTGCGGACGCACCAGGGCCTTAGGGCTCTAGGGGGCCCAGGGGCCCAAAAAAAAATCTTGCACCAGGGCCCTTTGTTCCTTAGCTCCGCCACTGCATAAATGTATCTTATTTGTGTATCGCTCAGCTGTAGATTGACAACTCATCTCTGAGGCTTGTCCACACCTAATCCAGTGCGTTCCAGCATGGTTAATTGCGGGAATGCACTGGATTGCATAATTATAGCCTCCCTCCGTTCTGGGGCAGGAGGGGGTATTGCGATCGCCCGCACCAGAATGCATGGCACAACAATGCCCGCTGTGCAATGCGATTGCAAAAAATAGTCCATGCACCTCGGGCATTGTTGTAAGATTAAAAATCATATGTAATAGGAATTGCTAGAGTGATGTGGTAAATGCAATATATGACAATGTATGGTTCATAGTCAGGTGTCTCACATTGAGACCTACTTAAAGTGAGTTGATCACATGCACAGGCAGTTTGTGATCTACCACCTGATCTGCCCACATGGGAGATACTATTATGGAAAAACCAATGCAAAGTTTGAATTGGGTGGCAAGATATAAAAGCTTAATTAGGACCGGGGCACTGAGGTGCATAAATGAACAGAGGATTTTAATTGCGGTGACACCCACAGTATTTAATTTTTTTGGGATAGAAATAGTATATGTGTGCCTACAAGGGGGGGCTGTCATGAAGGGGAAACTAATTTTATCACTACATTTGTGCTATAGGGGCTTATGAGAAATTCATATTTGTAGATGAATGTACCTAGTTTTTTTTGGGGGGGGGCTACAATTTATTTTATAAAATGAATGTATTGTATATAGGAGTTCTCAGATTTGATGCTAATGGATGACCACTGGAAGGCACAGGTATGGTTCAAAGGTGGGACTTCTTCAGTGGGCAGTTGTCCCACAGCTTTCAGAAAATGCATAGACCTGTCAAACAGCTATATGGGTTTTATCTGATATAATTATATGTGCAAGTTTTCTGATATTTTATTTGTTTTCTCAGCTTTACCTGTTTCGTTTGCGGAGCGTCCCTGGAGCCAATTTTACACAGTGTGCAACACATGGGAGCTTCCCCCAGCACTGGCAGGAGACCGCTTACAACATGTTCACTTTTTGCACTCTGTTTGTTACTCCACTAGGCGTCATGATTGTGTGTTACACACGAATACTCTGGGAAATCGGCAAGCAGATGAAGCACAAGAATGGTGAGATATGTTTATAACCATAGACTTTATAGACATAGAACCTTCTGGTTTACCATCTGCTTTCCCAGCTTGCTTTGCCATTGGTTCTTTCATGAAACATGGTCATTTTCTGCTTGTTACATTAACCCAAGACTCTCAGGACTATTAGATTTCTATTGACAATCTTTGTCTGGAATTGCTCCTCGCTCCCGTCTGAAGATCTGAAGATTATCGGGCAGCCACAAAGGATCATGGGGCGGGCGCATGCGCAGTACAGATCTCCGGCGGGGAGAAGAGGAGAGACTCAGGGTAAGTCAATGCAGCAGTGTGCACCCGCACAGACACCGTAGGACAGGAAGTGCCAGGAAGAGAGAGGAGTCAGCGCTGGATCAGAGACCGGCAACAGCACTGGAGGGACTCCTGACAACTACAGGAAAGAAGAAGATGATCGGATCAAGAGGCATCATGTAAGGTAAGTACTTACACTAACATGGGGGGGGGGGGGGGTTTCCTTTAATGTCACTTTAATTAAAGTTCATGCATAAAGTAGTTCAGAAAAATCCTGCCTCTGTTAACCAAGAAATCCTAAGCATTCTGCCTTCAGTAAGAACTGTTTGGGATCATAAGTGACATGGATATCGTTGGCATAATGCACTCAAGCTTTAGAACATCTTTGGAAGTTTGTGTGCTGTTGCACCCCTCCCCCCACCCAGCCCCTGGCGATGGTGTAAGGGTACCTCTCCTTTGGGTATTGGCCAATGCTGTGCAAATCTACCATTTGTCAGTACAATCTTACCATTGCCATCACCAACCGTTTCATCAATAGTAATGCGCTTAACACATCATTGTTTTCTGTTATCGTCGGTCTGAACCTAAGCTTATCCTTACTGTGCAGTAATTCAGTATGGCACTTTGCCTCTGTGCAGGAGCTTCCTGTAATAAAGACTGGTCACTGCTGTTCTCTCTTGTGCAGGATGACTGGTCTTGTATCCACCCCTTCCTGTAGCTTTTAACAGACAGCCTGCAGTGGGCCCCTCTCTGCTTTCTGCACAAGTTATGTTCAGCCCAGTGATGGTGTCACTGTTACATTTACTGTGGCAATGACTGGGTTTGCAATGGTGTCTTGTGCACACAAAGTTGTTTCCCTGTATTCTGCCAATTTCATATAATAATCCCTAGTTACAACTGTAATTATAGTTAACCTGATCAGGGAGATTTTTATGTTAACTCGTTTCACTTTTTCTTTCTCTTCCACTCGCCCTTGTTAAAGTAAGTTTCCAAAAACAGGCAGCTAGATGATGAATATGATGATGGGCAATACTAGTAATGCAATGTGTAAATCACAAGTAGTCTTCCCACTAAATGTAAAAACAACAAGACACCTTCTGGAGTTGCTTGCTAATGACAGTATCACAGTAAGGGTTTCCTATGGAAGCTTATTGAAGCCCTCCTCTGACAGGTGTTACTGCAGGCTAAGCCTGTATTCATGGCTTCTGGTTTCATTAACACAGTAGGATGCATCTCTTCTACACAGAAGGGTTTACAGCAATGCTAAAAATAGGAACTAGTTTAAGCAACGTTTGCAAGGTTTTGAATAATCGCTTCTGTGTGTGGTTGTTTCCTCAATTCACCAAAATGTCATAGCTGAGCAGCTCTAAAACAAAAAAACTTGCTCACGGGATACAATAGAATGTTTCCCTGTTCATTTGTTTGTCATCTTCTCCATGGTACCCTGAAAAATTGCTGCAAGTGGATCTCACTTTCATTCTTTGCATTAGTAATGATAGAGTGGAATATGTGACCAACAAAGGCAGGACTCTTTTATTGAGTAGGTCACTACACTCTATGCTTCCACCATCAGTACTAGAATGAATGCAGATTCCTGCTGCTCAGAAGATGTTTCTCGAAAGTGTAAATGCAACGAAAATGTATCACCCTTTCTTCCTATAAGATTCTGGAACTCCAGCAGGACCACAGACTTTAACAAAATTCATTTTACAGAAAAAATAACCAATTTTGCTCACTGAACTGCTCAGAGAAAATTTGCTTGGGTAGTCTTTTCTCCTTAATTTGGAGGGTGTGATTTTTGTGGAGGTAGAATTAGGGCAGTTGTGCTTATTTCATTTAGTGTATATTTTTCTTTTTTGTCATTTATATACTATCACTTAAATGTCTTTTTTATTTTACTTTCACTTATTTTACTTTTTATTTTACCCTTTGGCTGTTGTTTTTATTCTCTGAAAAAAAAACATTAAATGGCAATTTAAATCTCACTAATTTGTATTACAATTATAGCCCATCAGGGGAGCGAGCTTGGAGCGGTGGCTACTTTACAATACACACAGGGACCATGGAGAACAAAAGTAGCCACCCTCCAGAAGGAAGGACAGTGTCAGAGATGATCTACAGCTGAGTGATACACAAATAAGATACATTTTTGTAAATAGTTGAGGTACTTTAATGCATTTTTGGCCTCTTTCATGCAGGCTGATTAGGAGAGGATCTGTGCAGAGATCCTCTCCTGATCAGAGCAGTACAGAGCGGATGTCACCGCTGTGACATCCATGTCCATTCAGTTTTTTTCTCCATCTTGCAATGGAATAAAAAACTGAATTTACCAGACCCCAAGCCAGTCTATGGGGAATTGATTGTAAGCAGATATGTGTCCATTTATAGCAGCTTACCCCCAATCAGGCACGATCCGGTCGAGCGAAACAGAACACTGTTCCGTTTATTTTTACGGATCCGGCAGGAGGTGTGGGTAACCGGTGAAAATGGACACCCATCCGTTTACACATGGCTGCCCGTTGCATTGGGCATCCGATCGGGTCTGCCAGAGTGTCACTTTCATTTTGTGGCTTCCATTGTCTACAAAATTGTAATATGTCAACAAATTCCCTAATTTGTGCAAAACATTCTCTCGATTTTGCTCATACCTAGTCTAGAGCTTTGAACTCTGGGGAAGACCTTCCTCTTGGAAATTCTCCACACTACAAGAGGCCTGAAGAAGACAAAGACCACCAATATCCACCCCAGATGGCGTTGTCACTTTGGGGTGACTTTATACTTTCAATCCTGCATTGCTCATTGTATTATTGTATAATACTGAATGCCATACAGTACAGAACATTGCACCAGATACCAAATGCAGTAATATAAAGGATAAGAGGTCAGTACCTGAGAGTGAGGACATGAAAGTCCTCTCCTATTATCCCACACAACAGCAGCTTTTTCATGTAAAGAAAGTCAGCTAATTGGGTTTATGACGGGCCTTTAATGTCATGTTCAGAGGAAGCTTGCAGATATCATTTATTTTATAGCAAGTGACACAAGAGATAATGGCTGATTGCTGAGAGTCTTTCCTCAGGAGGTGCTGCGAAAAAGCATTTAAAATGTCTTCAGCACATTCAGGCAAACTGTGGCTCTCCATCTGATTAGAAGCTAAATGCAACACATGTTGGAGGATATAAAAGAGGACCAGTCATTATTGATATCAGCTCTACTTTAAGATACACTTCAGTCAAAATTTAACATTAAATTGTCAGATGCCTACAGGGGGGGTCTGGCACTGGAACACATACTGCAAGTTTCTTGCTGTCACCACATACAGAATGCATATACAGAATGCATAATGTAAAGAAAAATAGCAGTTTCCAGAACTTTCACTAATCAGGTTCTGATTGTTGTGAAAGTTTAAGGGACCGTTTACATCAGACGCTGCGCTAATCACACAGTGTCTGGTGTGTGGTGCCCCGTAACAGTGATCTCAGCGCATCAAGCTGCGTACTTTTTTTCCCCACAAGTGACCTTTCTTTCAGTTCTACAGGGACAGCTGGGTGCAACGCATTCCGCTGCGTTGAAAAAGCGCACACCACCACGTTCCTACCGCAATGCGGTGGTGTGAATGGGCACCATCTGTGACAAGGAAAATTGCATTGTCTTTGATTAGGGCTGTGTTGGAAACGGCCAGTGAAGCCCCAACACATGTGGTGTGAATGGACGCTAAATGTGATTTGTGATTTGGGTAAGCAGAGAGGGAGGAAGTTACATGGCACAGGCTTCAGGATTTAGTGTTCTTTCTCACCATATACATTCAGGCTGTGCTGGCTATTTTTTTGTTGTAGCGCAGCCGGAACGGAAGACCAGAGAGTTTTCCTTGTCATGGGTGGGCTAAGTTCACACTACTGCGTTCTGGTGGTGCACGCTTAAAAAAAGGATGGTACACCACAGTGAGACACGGACAACCGCATTACACTCAGGTGAGCCCATAGAATGTAATGAAATGTTACTTGTGACATTTCAACGGTGTTAATTTTGTCGACTAAAAATTTTCATCATAGTTTTAATCAGCTATACTTTTTACCAGTGTTATTTTCGTCGCCTAATAATTTTCATCATAGTTTTCATCAACACTTTTTCAGTGACCAAAACTAGACTAAAACAAAATAAAAACTAAGTTATGATGACTAAAACTATAACGAAAATATATTGACATTTTAGTCAACTAACTAAAACTAGACTAAATTTTTAGGGAGAGACGATTTGGGAAGAGATCCAATCAGAACTAATCTCTTTGAACTTGCAGTTCCGGTTCCATCTTGAATGGACGGCTAATAGGTAATATGTACAATGGCATTACAACCAATATAGTTTTTCATTTTTATATTTTAGAGTTGCACTTCTACTTGAAATAATGAAGAAAGTCATATGCAAGTTTTTATAATCAATGCATATTTAATTACTGGTCCTTTGTTGAAACTACTCAATATTATTGTTTCTTCATAAGACTTGGTTTAATCTAATTTTAGGATAAATAAAGATAGATCACAGCAGTTAAATCTGTGTCTGTATTGCATGTTCAAACCATAATACAATAAGTAATAACAGGTTGTTTACTCCAGGAGTATATAATGAGAGTGGAAATTCTAGAGAAATTCTTAAATTACTTAACTAAAGACCACTAGAGTTTAGTAGACTAAATCTACTGTAGATTTAGTGGACTAAAATCTTATGATATTACTAGTATATCATCTCATATCATTAGATATAATCTAGGACTTATCCCCTGACGGTCCCTATGAGGGCGACACTTAGAGCTTGGAACGAAGTATGTAAATCCCTCTACCCCGGCACTGCCTGCGTCTCACCGCATACCCCGTTGTGGAATAACTCCGAATCTGAGCCATTTTATCTCCATCCCTGACTTTCACATTTGGCCGGAGAGTGGAATTAGGACACTGGGGGATCTGACTTTGGCCGGTTCACTTGCCTCCTTTGCAGTGGCGTCACAAGGGGGGTGCGGGGGGTGCGGCCCGCACCCCGGTGCCACCATTGGAGGGGTGACACCAAAATTACTCACAGTCATGGACCGAACACCCGACAGTATCAGGAGAGAGGAGGGGACCCGGCGGCATACCTTATCCCGCCGGGTGACTGTCCCCTCCTCTCTCTGCCGGCGTCCGTCACCAAGATGGCCGCCGGCAGGTATCAGCATACATACTTAGTTTAGATTTATTTTAGATTTAGTCGTATTTTAGTTTTAGTCGTATTTTAGTCATCTGAATTGTTTTAGTTTAGTTTTGTCGACTAAATCAACAGTATAGAAAATTGCAATGTATTTTCATTTTCATATAGTCCTATTAACTTACTTATTATTTTGTTTTCATTTACCGTATTTTTTACCTCCCTGCGTCCTATGGTCTGGTGCGTCTTATGGACCGCAAAATACGGTAATTTTCATCACTAAAAACATGCAGCTGATGAAAACTATTACAAATAATTTTAATCAACTAAATTAACACTGCATTTCAAACTGGCTTTAGAACTGTTTTAATGATAATCTGTAGCTGTGGTGTATTGTGCACTGCTCTTCGGACTGAGGAGTAAGAATGCAAAAAAGAGCAAAACATCCGTGACACTAGCTTTATAGTGGAGGAATTAAAAGCAATCAGATGAGAAAAATACATCCCAGCTAATTTCTAGGTCATCTGAGAACAAACGGCCTGGGGTGGCTATTCCTAATAATATAGTACGTATGCCAAGCTTGGCTGAAACAGATGACAATCATTTCCTGTGTATGGATACCATAAGCAGCGCAAAGAGAAGTAATGATTTGCAAACCCATATTAACCAAACAAATATCATCTTCATTATTCTAATTAAATACTTGTTTAAAATATACCATTTTATAATACAAGAACTGAATGGTTTACTTAAAAGAAAAATGAAAACCAGTTTTTTTTATTTGTTTCTTCATCAAATAATTTCACTTAAATAATATGTATAGGCAAAAAATCAGTACATCACTGGATACTTTACATGCCATTGTCCCCAGCAAAGCTTTGGCTGGCAGCCCACCCAGTTCACTGACGTCAGAAGCTGGACGGGGCAAAGACCAGATTGTCCCAGGTTGCTAAGAGCTGGGCAGGGATATGTGTATGGCCCTTATACATTTCCCCGTCTGACGTTTCGCAACCTGGGATGCTCTGGCAGGAAAGGGGGCAATCATTGTGCCTTCTGCCCCCCCATGTGACCCTAAAAGATGCCACCTCATGCTGCCTCATTATGCAGATGGCCCTGGTCCCTGCCAATTTCTTCCCTGCTGGGTTACAGCACACTTGTCTTCTATGTTATGGAAAAGAAGAGAGAGGGGAAATGTTCTGTAATCCTATTATAGGGTGACAACACTCCTCCATAGATCCATTATGGTAAAAGAGCAGTGAAGTGTGTTAATGGCAGGATCACCAGGTGAAAATAAAGGGGAAAAAAAGCTTGAAAAAAGAAGACCAATGTTGTCACCGCATTTAAGGATTGGCAAGTTGCAAAATATAACTTTTTTTGTTCTTGAGTTTAGATACACTTTAACCAAGAGATGAAAAGCAGTTCATAGTGTGGTTTTCAATCACGTTGCATAGCACCTGTTCTGTAAAATATTAAACATACTGTGTGATTTTATCAGTTTGGAGCAATGGTGAATGTATTCGTCTGCAGTTGAGTCCCCCTGGATGATTTGGGCAGTGACCTGCAAATTCTTTATAATTTATGTTTTTTTTTATAATTTTCCAGAGCTTGCAAGGAGTAAGAATGACCTCATCTCCAAAGCACGGCTAAAAACCCTGAAGATGACACTAGTTATTGTGGTATCTTTCATGGTTTGCTGGACTCCTTATTACCTGTTAGGAATATGGTATTGGTTCCAGCCAGAGATGATCCACCTAACACCGGAGTACATCCATCACAGCCTGTTTCTCTTTGGCCTCCTTCACACCTGCACTGACCCTCTAGTTTATGGACTATACACCCCTTCATTTAAAGAGGATTTGCGCACTTGGCTCAGGAGACTTGGGGGTCTGCTGACAAGGAAGCAGCTTGCAGACTCTGAAATGAACATCAAAGACCTTACCTCCATGGATGGGCCAACAACTACTGCCACCACAGTACAGTCTATCTTTTGAAACCAATTTTGCACACTTTACATTTTCATGTGCAGCTGTCTTTAAAATCTAGAAAACATATATTCTATCAGGTTGTGTTGCATCCTTTATTGGGTAAGAAAGGTTTAAAGGTTGCTATTCTTCAAAATTCTCTTGTTCTGAACTGCTGGCATCCAAGTCTACATGACTACCTTGGAAAGGTAAGCTCTCCCAATGGCTGCATTGCTTTATATTAAAAAAATCTTTAAAATGTATCAGTTGCTAATAGTTGAAGTGAAACATTTTTCAAGCTATCAATTCACTTTTTATAGCACAATGGAGGAATAAGAAGACACTAAAAAAGTGAACACGATAACTCAGGATGGATTCAACATTGGGACCTATGCCTAAACCTGCACACCTGAAAAAAATTAAAACTGAGGCTAATAGTCTGAGTGACTGTTGTGGGTCTCCAGTTTCTGTTGACATGAGAGATAACCGTATGCTGCACGCAAAGCAAACCTCTGGGAGAAAAAAAAAAACCCTAAACTAAAAGCAGGCCCATGTAGATATCAACACATATATATTGTACCTTGACATTTCTCACTCTGTCACAAACAAAGGCACCACTGGCCTTGTCTTCAGAATTCCTAGTGGTGAGGAATCGGTGTGCCCACCACCCCCATCCCACAACGCAATGCCCAGTGCCTGAGGAACCTATCATGGAGGCACTGGTATTTTTATGTAAGGGAGAGGGAATGTCTATGTTAAGCATATGTATCTATCAGAAAGTAGCCATTTTGTTGGGAGAAGGTTCCAGGTGATGCTGGAGTGACAAATGCTAAGGTAAAAGGTATCTGCTGACAGCTTATTCCATTAGCTACCTATTTTCCTGTTAGCTTAGGGATACACACACACACACACACAGGGCTGTAGCTACCATAGGGCGAGTGAGGCACTGGCCTCAGGCGCAGCTGAGAGGGGGCACAGCCAGGGCCGGCCTGGCTGTGTCCCCTCGCACCTGTTGCCATGGTGAGCAAAGGGCGCCATTGGCAACAGGGGTGCCAGGTGGCCAAGGCAGCCGCAGCTCGCCAGGGAGAGGAGGAGCTGCACAGGCTCCAGCTTCTCCTCTAACGAGTCACACACCAGACACGACTGTTGGGGGGGGGGGGGGTACAAATTTCTGTTCTTGCCTCGGGCGCAAAAGGAGCTAGCTATGGCTCTGCACTCACACACACACACAATGAAGGTACAACTTGTACACCTTTCACACCAGTTGCAGTGCGTTCCAGCCCGATTCTGGCCAGAATGCACTGCCTCGCATTGCGGCCGGCTCACTTTTTAGTGGGGCAGGAGGCGGGCCATTGAAGTGAACGGCACCGTAGCCACACCCTCCGATAGGAATGCGATCGGCTGCGCATGATCGCAAGGCACATTATGCCTGCAGTCCGGTGCGATCAAAATAGTGCTTGCAGCATTTTGATCGCACCAAACCGCAGGCCCGCCACGCCCCGTCCTGCCTCATTAAAAGTGAGCCGGCGGCAATGCAAGGCAGTGCATTCTTGCCAGAATCGGGTTGGAACGAACTGCAACAGGTGTGAACGTGCCCTAAGTGACACTCAGGAGGTAAATCTTAAAAGTTTATTTAAGTACCTTAACTATCAACAAAAAATGTAGCTTATTTGCACTTTAGATCAGGCAGCTGTAGATCCTCAAATCATCTCTGAACTGGTGATGACACTGTCCTTCCTTCAAGAGGGGGGCTACTTTTCTTACCCATGATCCCTGTGTGTGTGTTGTAAAGTAGTCACTGCTCCAAGCTCACCCCCGTGATGGACTACAATCTCTTAATAGTTAAGATACTTGAATGTATTTTTAGGATTTAACTTGTGAGTTTAGTATCACTTACATAGAAGAACATGCTTTGGGGGAGAGGGGAAAACTCAGAGCTGTTGCGGGCGATAACATCAGTCTGTATCACTTTGAAGACTCAGACATTGTCAACCAGCAGAGAAAACATAGGAAAAGAAAGATTTACTATTATGTTGGTTACTGGAACTGATAAAGATATCATTTATTTATTTATTTTGCACTGTACCTTTTAACATTTTAGTCAATTTAATGTTTTACACAGAAGAAAAATCTGCTAAGAACGAGATACCTGGAAAGAAGCTCTTTACTTTTCTGTTTACCTGTCATAGGTGAGTGTGGCTCTGGAAATGCCATATTTTCTCTGAGAGTCCCATTAGAGTAATTGCTGGGAACCTTATCACAATTCCTGACTGAACATTTCCTATATACTGTTCTATATATACACACATGACCTTTCCTGCCTTCTCTGTGAGTCATGTTTATTACATTTATGCATGTAAGAATGTTTGCTTTTTTATCTCTTTGGTGCATGAAATGGAATCATAAGTCACGTCATATCTCAGAAATCCCTGGGGTTTTGACTGGCATATGTAAATTATTTTTGTATCCACAATGTAACCTTAAATCTGGCTTTTCCTTGGTTATAGAGCGCAACAGAATACTGTCACAATTATGGTGCATATGTGATAAAATAGTTACAGTAATGAGGAGTAAGTTCACAGCACTGTTTTAATAAGAACAATCCTGATCCATACAATTTTCTTAACCTATCTTCAGCCAGAGAGCCACATACAAATGTCATGAGCATTACTGAGCTCCACTAAATATTAGTCTTTTTAAGTAAATTTCTGTCCAAACTGAACAGTAGACTAGGATATACAGGGAGTACAGCCCAGCTCTTTTCCATTCAGATGTTGGTTAATACACCAGTCCATCCCACTCCCTTTTGTCTGTAATGTGGTCACCCTGGAACACATCTGCTGGTGACACTGGAGCAAACTTTTTGCTGCCTGTTACTTACATAATATTTGATAAATATTTCCAGAAAGTCAGAGTGAGAAAGTCAGATTGTTTAATTGTGATTGTTGGTGCAGAAAATAGAAAGAGGAGATTACACTGCATAGATTTCAGAAATTGAACTCCTACTGCCTTCCTATTGACCCTCTATGAAGCTCCATTGGCCTAATTAAAGGTCTACTATTTTTTTTATTAAAGGGTAAGTTAGCTTTCCCAAATAATTTGGGAAAATGGATCTACCTGCTCAAATCTGGCCCTCTCTTCCCCCCCACTTACCTTTCAGTGAACGGTCCTTCCCCTCCACTGTTACGGGTGTGTTATCTGTACCCTGTACTGCTGTCCGGTGCAGAAGCCCTTCTTATTGGTCAACGTGGTCAGGTGACTGTGCTGACCAATGAGTGCTCTCAATTTGCGAGCAAAATTCTAAATTCACAGCACTGGGCTGCGTTAGACGGCAGTATGGATAGTACACCCATACTGGCGGAGGTGGAGGTCCATTTGCCGAAAGGTAAATATAGCGGCGAGTGTGCCAGATTTGAGCGGGTAATTTAATTTTCCCAAATTTCTTGGGAAAGTGAACATACCCTTTAGTATAATGCAGTCCGGTTGCATAAACAGAAACAAATGTGGTCATCAGTTTTTTTTTACTGTACTTTTGGGCTGCAGCAAAGGTCCGAAATGCCCTGTGCTGGCAGCATGCTGGAAGTCTGGATCACAGTGCAGTGGCCGGCATGCGACTTGCAGAGTGCTCCAATCAACAGCGCTGGTCAGGGAGCACAAGTCATTTTACCAATTGCACACCAGAACAGTAAAAATATAAAGGACACACACATTTATTGTGACCTGACTGCATTACAATAATGAAAACAATGTTTCAAGGTAAAATAAGTAAACATTTTGACGTAAAGTGGAACTATGTCCTCTAATGGAAAACAAAAAGAAATGTGCTGCAGTACTTAAAAGGAAACATTGTTTGGCTTTAGTCCTCTTTTGGGTCAAAGGAGTATATTTACTAATGTCCTCCTGTGACCCAAACTCAGCATAAAGTAGGCTACTGCCCACTATATGCTGACAGCGCAGAGCCGCGATGCAGCCAGGAAAGATCCCGACAATATTGTCAGGATTCCTCCCGCTGCCTGATTGACAGCTGGCTCTACAACTCCAAAGCCAGAGCCAACTGTGCCCACCCCTCCCCTGTCTGTCCCTCCAATGAGCGCTGGAAGAACAGAGAAGGGAGGGGGTATCCCTACAGGGAGCGGGGACTGACAGTCACTACTCTCTGCAGGGAGAAGACTGTGAGCTGAGCGATCTTGATCTATAGAGCCAGGATGTGAAACCTGCATTGTCACAAGCCAGCTCTGAGTATTGGGAAGAGTAGATTTTACTCTCCCAATACTTCTTGCTTAATTATAAGTGAATCAAACTAACAGATTTCTCTTAGTCCCCTGCAATGTCCCCCAAATATCTGTTGATCCTGCCAGAGAAGTCCAAATAATACAGCTTTCTGTGATGGCATGGCAACAATGCTGCACTGCGCCGGAATTCAGATCAGAGATGCCACTCGCATGTAGGCTGTGCCTGCTTCATTACAGGGACATGAAATAATTTTGCAGGGTGTGTGGCTATCAGCATTGTCACTGCTGATTCACCTGGCCACACCTAGTCCCGCTCACTGGTTCCTGGATTGACAGCACAACCTCTGTTCCTGAAACCCTCCCACTGAAAGCTGCAGTGTCTGGGAGAGGGAGCGTATGAGACACAAATGAAGGAGGATTTGGGTCAGTCATAGAAGGTGAAGGAAGTTTTTTGTTTACGTTATATGGCTTGTACATCACATAGTACCTTGATTTGGTACCTGTGTAGATTTCTATGCAGTAGCCTCTAGTTGTACTTTAAACACAGTTCTTCACTGAATAGGAATAATAACACACTGAATGTTTCACCTTCTTGTCTGGAGTTGCCAGGAAAAAAATGCTAATCAATTTAATGAAATGTTATAAATTAGACAGCATTGGACTGGATGTATACCTCTGAGATGTATTTAATGCAGCAGATGTTCTGACAGATCTTTCAAAGAAGAAGCCCTGCAGATAAACTGCTGTGAGCAATGACAGAGAAAGCTGGGAAGAACACAAGTTTGGAAGTCACAGACTGCAAAATATTGCCCAAAACTATGCCATTTATATATTTCTTAAAGCTGAACACCAGGCCCT